AAAAAAAAAAAAAAAAAAGAAAGAGCTTCCGTCGTCTGGGTGAGAAATTGATCTAAGCAACAGAACACAGACTGAGTTCAGAGAGAGAAAGAAAACAGCATTAGGTAGGACCACCTGCTAATCATGGGGACATGAGAAGAACATCAGGTGGCCAAGGAAGAATCGGGAGGGAGACAGGGGCCGGCCCAGGACACTGGGAGCCGCCAATCTCGGCGTATGACTGGACCAGGGGACACTGGCTCGAGCTGCGTCCCATCGGACAGAACCATCCCTGAGAGCTGCCCAGGCTGAGGGTCAGGGACGCTGGCCAGGAGCCCCTCTCAGTGACAGCACCCGTCGTAGAGGGTCAGGGTGCACTCAGGAACCGGCAGCTGTTAACCTCAGAAACGCCTTCTGCACCCAAGCGACAGAGTGAAGCAAAGCCCCGGCCTCTCCAAGGACCCCAATTTCCTCGTCTGCGAGATGCTGAGGGGAGGTCCACGCAGAGACCCCACCTCACGGAAACACATCGGCTCCTCCAGGGACAGCCTGAGAGCCCAGAGAGGGGACGGTCAGCTCCTGACTCAGGTCCACGAAGAGGTGGAACAGCCCTGCGGAGGGCTCTGGCTCGCAAGCCGAGTCAGAACCCAGCACTGCCCTTGCTGTGTGGCTCCGGGCAAGGGGCTCGGCCTTAGACTGCCTCGCTCAGGTGTGGGTGGCGGGCAACACGTCTAGGCTACCACAGGCACTGCAGAGGGGTTTTCTCACTGAACTGCACCCCTCAAAGCTCCAAGCACACGGATGACTCTTTTCAGGAGGCGCAGGACAGGAGAGGCTAGCTGAGGAAGCAGGAGGCACTCCTGGGGGAAGAGGCCTCAGTGCCGTCCTCTGCTGGTAAGAAGAGGTGTGAAGGATACGTTAAAATGTATACAGTGTCTGGCTGGGCGCGGTGGCTCACGCCTGTAATCCTAGCTCTCTGGGAGGCCGAGGCGGGCGGATTGTTTGAGCTCAGGAGTTCGAGACCAGCCTCAG